TTCCTCTGCTGACCGGAAGTCCGGTTCCCCAACCATAGAGTCTCCTCCTAGCATGGTGTCCTTTTTCCTCTGCTGACCGGAAGTCCGGTTCCCCAACCATAGAGTCTCCTCCTAGCATGGTGTCCTTTTTCCTCTGCTGACCGGAAGTCTGGTTCCCCCGACCACAGAGTCTCCTCCTAGCACGGCATCCTTTTTCCTCCGGGTTCTTTTGCTTGTCAGAAAGTCACAAATGGGGATCATATGACCCTGGGACACAGCAACCTTCATAAATGTAAGCCAGTTGCCCAGCATCCCAATGTAAATCACGCGACCACGGGGAGTGCTGCAATGGTCACAAGTGTGAAAAACGGTCACAAGTCGCTATTTTCAGTGCCATTATAATAATCCTTGACTTACAACAGTTCACTTCGTGACCGTTTGAAGTTACAACGGCGCTAAAAAAAGTGAATTATGGCTGTGTTTCACACTTACGACTGTTGCAGCATCTCCATGGTCACGTGATCAAAATTCAGTTGCTTGGCAACCGGTTCATATTTATGATGGCTGCAATTTTTTTGGGGGGGGGGGTTATCATTGTCATCACCTCGTGTGACTGACAAGCAAAGTCAATGGGCAAGCCAGACCCACTTAACGACCGCGTCAAGAAAGGTCGTAAAATGGGACAAAATCCCTAACCTGGCCCGACAGGAATTTGGGGCTCAGTTCTGATCGTAGGTAATCAGCAGATTTGTGGTTGCCGAGTTTGTGTTGGATGAGGCTCGTTATTTGATGTGCTTGGCACACTCACGAACCGTACACAGGATACGCAGATTGCACGGGAAGCCTTCAATTTCAATTTGCAACAGGCGGCGGCTTCACCATTGTTCGATTGACGCATGAGTTTACAGGGAACAAGTTCATGGTCAACTTTAAGGAGCTTTTCATTTGACAAAGGAAGAGAGGGAACAGAGTGGGAGAATCTATACAACTCTAACACAATGCATAGCGAGAGGGAAGCGGGCTTATCTTTGCCGATGGCCTGGAGAGATAGTCCCCCGTCCCCCCATTGGGAGCAGGAATTTTCATGGCTAAACGCAGCGGTTGTTAAACAAACTCTACCCCCTTTTTTCCCCTACAGTCGTTCAGCCCATCGCTGCCGTCGTTCAGTGAATCGTAATGTCAGGGTACCAAATAGCATCCAAAATTAAATCAGAGTCCAAGGCAAAGTGTTGCTCAAAGTTCCAATTTATTAAGNCCTTCCTTCCTTCCTTCCTTCCTTCCTTCCTTCCTTCCTTCCTTCCTTCCTTCCTTCCTTCTTCCTTTCTTCATAAATTTTATTCACCACCCATCTCACCACAAGGTAACTATTCCCACATGCCATTTTTCCCCATTTCCTTGCCACTTTCTTTTCATCTTCAAGGGCTCGGATAATGCTTATGAGTCAGTCTCTGATCCAGTCCAAAGATATCCACAGGATTGGTCAAAAAAGTCAAAATGGTGGCCATTTTGGACCTGTGACTGCATTATTGCGGCTGCCATCTTGTTTTTCTGAACCCTCAACGTGATCAACGGCATCCACGCCCAGCTTTATCGAGCTGAGGTCATAGGCTATTCTCAGGCATTACAGGTAGCCCATCATTTACAACTACAATTCAGCCCCAAATTCCTGTTGCTAAGCGAGATGGTTGTTAAGTGAGTTTGGCTGCGCTTTATGACCTTCCTTGCCACAGCTGTTAAGTGAATCATTGCAGTTGTTAAGTTAGGGACATGGTGGTTCAGTGAATCTGGCTTCCCCACTGATTCATCAGAAGGTCGCAAAAGGGGATCACGTGACCCCAGGACACTGCGACCGTCATAAATCTGAGTCAAGCTGCCAAGCATCTGAATTTTGATCACGTGACCATGGGAAGGCAGCTGAGGTTGTGTGAAAAATAGTCCTAAGTCACTTTTTCCCCCAGTGCGGTTGTAAACTCGAACGGTCACTAAATGGGCCATCGTAAGTCGAGGACTGCCTGCACCTGTTACATGTCCGGGAAGGCTGTCCTGTCTTAGCGTAGGTTGTGAAACCAGATTAATTCCAGTTTATTTACTCAACCGGGATTAAGCAAACCAGACTTATTGCAAGATATAAAGTATTTAAAGACAGGATGGATTGCTGTTTATCAGCGATGGGGTTTAGGTTAATTGATCGCTAAGGCACCTTCCATGAAATCAATCCCTGGAAGATAAGGCCCATCCCTTCTTTAACAGAACGACAGAGTTAGAAGGGACCTTGGAGGTCTTCTAGTCCACCCCCTGCTCAAGCAAGAGATCCTATACCAGTTGTCGGCAGCCTTAAACACTCAAAGAGCCACAAAGGTCCTACCTGGAAGCCCCCCGTTCAATTCCGGAGCCGACCGGAAGTCCATTTTCCCCACCATAGAGTCTCCTCCTAGCATGGTGTCCTTTTTTCCTCTGCTGACCGGAAGTCTGGTTCCCCGACTATAGAGTCTCCTCCTAGCATGGTGTCCTTTTTCCTCTGCTGACCGGAAGTCCGGTTCCCCAACCATAGAGTCTCCTCCTAGCATGGTGTCCTTTTTTCCTCTGCTGACCGGAAGTCCGGTTCCCCAACCATAGAGTCTCCTCCTAGCATGGTGTCCTTTTTTCCTCTGCTGACCGGAAGTCCGGTTCCCCAACCATAGAGTCTCCTCCTAGCATGGT